ACCTAACACCTGCTAACACACTAACACCTGCTAACATATAGCTAACACCTGCTAACACACACCTAACACCTGCTAACACACGCCTAACACCTGCTACCATCTAACACACCTGCTAACACACACCCTAACACCTGCTAACACACACCTAACACCTAACAACACACGCCTAACACCTGAATAACACATACAACACACACACCTAACACAACACACACACCTAACAAACGCCTAACACCTGCTAACACACGCCTAACACCTGCCAACACCTAACACCTAACACCTGCTAACACACCTAACACCTGCTAACACACCCCTAACACCTAACACACGCCTAACACCTGCTAACACACACCTACCTGCTAACACACGCCTAACACCTGCTAACACACGCCTAACACCTGCTAACACACATGTACACACCCCTGTACACACAACACACCCTAACAAACACCCAACACCTGCCAACACACTAACACACCCAACACACTCCTACCTGCCACTACTTACCTAACACCTGCCTAACACACGCCTAACACACATACAACACCTGCTAACACATACCCAACACCTGCTAACACACACACAACACCTGCCTAACACACATATAACACCCTTCTAACCTCACCTAACACCTGCTAACACACGCTAACACCTGCAACACACACCTAACACCTGCCAACACACGCCTAACACCTGCAACACACCCTAACACCTGCCAACACACGCCTAACACCTGCCAACACACGCTTCACACCTGCAACACACCCTAACACCTGCACACACTAACACCTGCCAACACACACCTAACACCTGCCAACACACACCTAACACCAACACACCTACTACCTGCCAACACACGCCTAACACCAACACACACCCTAACACCTGCTAACACACACCCTAACACCTGCTAACACACGCCTAACACCCAACACACTCCTACACCTGCCAACACACGCCTAACACCTGCACCAACACACGCTAACACCTGCCAACACACTAACACCTGCAACACACATAACACACACACACCTAACACCTGCCAACACACCTAACACCTGCCAACACACCGCCTAACACACCCTAACACACACGCCTAACACACAACACACCCTGCCAACACACACACACGCCCATGCTAACACGCGTAAAGCCTGCAATAACGCCTAACACCTCCCGACACATACCTAACACATGCTAACACGCGTAAAGCCTGCAACTAACGCCTAACACCTCCCGACACATACCTAACACGTGCCAAACACCTGCTAACATATAGCCTAACACGTCACTTTAACTAATAATTCCGTGTTTGAGTGAGCGGTTTGATAATAATAATAATAATAATAATAATAATAATAATTAAACAGAATTAACCACCACGACAACAGTTAACGGGTCACCAAGTTCAACAGTAATGCCTTCCGTTACTCGACCCGTGAATAACACCAACAGAATTACGCAGGTGACGAGGAGTAGTGACAGGTGGACCGGGGGAGACAGGAGGGCCGGGTTGAACAGGAGGGCCAGGGGAGACAGGAGGGCCAGAGACAGGGCCGGGGAGACAGGAGGCAGGAGTTAGACAGGAGGCCGAGGGAGACAGGAGGGCCGGAGGAGACAGGAGGGCCGGGGAGACAGGAGACCCAGAAACAGGAGGCCGAGACAGGAGGCCGGGGAGACAGGGGAGCCGGGGAGACAGGAGACGGGAGACAGGAGGCCGGGGAGACAGGAGGGCCGGGGAGACAGGAGGGGCCGGGAGACAGGAGGACCAGAGGAGACAGGAGGCCGGGCGAGACAGGAGGGCCGGGCAGGAGACAGGAGGCCGGGCAGGACAGGAGGGCCGGAGCGAGACAGGAGGGCCGGGCAGACAGGAGGGCCGGGCAGGACAGGAGGCCGGGCAGAGACAGGAGGGCCGGGCGAGACAGGAGGGCCGGGCGAGACAGGAGGGCCAGGGCGAGACAGGAGGGCCAGGGCGAGACAGGAGGCCGGGCAGGACAGGACGGGCAGAGCGGGAGGCCAGACGAGACAGGAGGCCGGAGCCGAGACAGGAGGCCGGGCGAGACAGGAGGCCGGGCAGACAGGAGCCGGGCGAGACAGGAGGGCCAGGCGAGACAGGAGGCGGGCAGGACAGGAGGGCCAGGGAGACAGGAGACCGGGAGCCGAGACAGGAGGCCAGGCAGAGACAGGAGGGCCGGGCAGACAGGAGGGCCGGAGCCAGACAGGAGGGCCGGGCCGGAGCAGGAGGGCCGGGGCCGGGCAGGAGCCGGGCCAGACAGGAGGGCCGGGCCGACAGGAGGGAGACCGGGCCGGGCAGGAGAGCCAGGCCGGGCAGGAGGGGGCCGGAGCCAGACAGGAGGGCAGGCCGGGCAGGAGGGGCCGGGCCGAACAGGAGAGACCGGGCCGGAGCAGGAGGGCCAGGGCGGAGCAGGAGGGCCGGGCCGGGCAGGAGGCCAGGCCGGGCAGGAGGCCGGAGCCGGGCAGGAGGCAGACGGGCAGAGGGCCGGAGCCAGGCACGAGGCCGGGCAAGACAGAGTGCCGGGCCGGGGACTGTGCTAGTGTTTGTGGTGAAAGAGGAAACAGAGTGTTCAGTTATAGGGTGATGGTGGAGAAGAGGAGAGAGAGGAAGGAGGAGGAGAGGGAAGAGGAGGAGGAAGAGGAGGAGAGGGGAGGAGGAGGGAGAGGGAAGGAGAGAGGAGGAGGGAGAGAGGGAGGAGGAAGGAGAGAAGAGGAAGGGAGGAGGAGATGGAGGAAGAGGGAGAGAAGGAAGAGGGGAAGAGGGAGGAAAAGAGGAGGAGAGAGGAGGAGAGGAAGAGGAGGAAGGAGGAGGAGAAGAGGGAGGAAGAGGAAGGAGGGAAGAAAGAGGAGGGAGGAAAGAGGAGGAGGGAGATGGAGGAAGAGGAGAGGAGAGAGGAAGAAGAGGAAAGGGGAAGAGGAGAAGGAGGAGAGAGGGAAGAGGAGGAGGAGGAGATGGAGGAAGAGGAGGAGAAGAGGAGGGAGGAAGAGGAGGGAGGAGAGGGAAGAAAGGGGAGATGAAGGAGAGAGGAAGAAGAGGAAGATGGAGGAAGAGGAGAGGAAGAAAAGGAAGAGGAGGCTGAGGAGAAAGAGGTAGGGAGGAGAGGAGTGAAGAATAAAAGAAGGAGGAGAAAGGGGAGGAGGAGGAAGAGGAGGAGGAGGAAGGAGGAGGAGGAGGAGGAGGAGGAGGAAGGAGGAGGAGGAGGAGGAAGGGAGGAGGAGGAGGAGGAGGATTACCCTTTCTTACTGTAACCATCTCCTCCCCTTCTTCCTCTTCTGACCTCATTCCCTTACTCCTCCTCCTCTCTTCCACTCCCTCCTCCTCCCTCCCTCCCTCTCCTTTGACTTTCTCTCGTTTCTACTCTCATTCTATTTTTACATACATACACCAACATACATGTTAACTCTCTCTCTCTCTCTCACAGGGGACACACACGAGGAAGTAAACACAGCTCTGCACTCCTCCCTCCAATACTCCTTACTCGTCGTCGTCTCCTCCCTCCCTTTCTTCTTTCTCTTAATCTCAACACCCTTGCATTTCCAATCATCTTCCCTCTTCCTTCATCTCTCACCCCCCAGGTAAGACCACTAAACTGACTGACAGGTTTAGACTCATGCAAAACTGTCAGCCGGTGGTAAGTTTGGTGGGTGTGTGTGTGTGTGTGTGTGTGTGTGTGTGTGTGTGTGTGTGTGTGTGTGTGGGAGAGAAAAAGTAGTAGTATCCACACGTGAAGTCAGGAAGTGGTGCAGGAGAGGGGAGAGGGACAGGGGAAGGAGGGAGGGAGGAGACAAGGCAGGAAGGGAGGGAGGAGTGTGGGCAGGGGAGAGGGAGGGAGGGGAACACGGGAGGGAGGGAGGGGGGCAGGGGAGGGAGAGAGGGTCAGTACAGTATATGGACACACTCAATCCACCTAAATGAATGGTTTACGTTGAGCCCTGAGTGGTAAACATGTTCTGACACACACACACACACACACACACACACACACACACACACACACACACACACACACACACACTAAGCATACCACTATATCCCACACTGGAGGCAGCAGTAAGATAAATACTATATATTCTAAAAGTACGTAAACCAACATAAAAACAACATAACATAAAACATTGTACACGGAAATATAAAACTAACATTAAACCTACATAAATCATATAACCTAGATAAAACCAACGTAAAAACAACATAAAACCTACATAAAACCAACGTAAAAACAACATAAAACCAACGTAAGAACAACATAAAACCTACATAAAATCCGTACATATATCTGTCCTACAATGTCAACACCAACGCTCACCTGGGATAAAAAAAAATAACTATATACACAGAAAAATAAATAAATAAAAGGGGAGAGAAAAAAAAAACGACACGAGGTGAAAAAAAATAATGTAAATAAATAAAATAAACCTTTAACAATGTGTGTGTGTGTGTGTGTGTGTGTGTGTGTCAGTTTATGCGTTCACACACACTACAGATGACCCAGATAATAATCAATACTCTATAAATGGCTGAAGTGAAAAACGATGACTGTATACAATTAAAATAAGGATTAGGCGTCAACAATATACAATTAACGTAGATACCGCTGCTAACAAGGTCCACCTATACAGTGTGTTGTGGTGAGAGGTACAGTGACCCTATACACCATACTGTATAGGGATAGTGTGTGTGTGTGTGTGTGTGTGTGTCTAGACCTATATTTATATCTGTACTTGTAATTGCACCATCACTGTACTTGAATCTGTACCTGTACTTGCATCTGTACCTGTATCTGCACCCGTATTGTACTTGTAATTGCACCATTACTGTACTTGAATCTGTACCTGTACTTGAATCTGTACCTGTATCTGCACCCGTATTGTTCTTGTATTTGCACCATTATCTGCATTACTTGTAACTATACGTATAATGTTTTAAAGTAATAGAATAGAAGACTAAAGTAAAAAATATTTTAAACAACGAAACTTTAACTTACTTTTAGTACAGAAAGTTAAACGCTCTGAAAATAAAAAAATATATTAATGACACTAAATACTGGTAGAAGTAACAAATAAAATAATAAATAATAACAATAAAATGTGAATGTGTGTGTGTGTGTGTGTGTGTGTGTGTGTGTGTGTGTGTGTGTGTGTGTGCGCGCATAAGCACCAGCCGGGTTCAGTTAACTGGGGGTGTTACAAAATGCTGACTAATGATTGGCTAAGCTGGGATTGGATCCAGCCATACAAAATCGAGTTTTAATGTAATCCTGTTTACCACTGGTCGGTCTGTTATTAATTAATCTGACATGTCGCTGTGAGTGATCCATCATTATACACTCACCTACAATAACAATAATAATAATAATAATAATAATAATAACAACAAGTAGATAATAGTAGTAATTATTATAAATACCAGTAATAACAACAACAATGATGGCGAGGAAGCCCCGAACAAGTAGTACTACTAATACACCGCCCCTATACCCTGAACAAAATAGGTTAACAAATTAATAATATAAATAAAATAATGCATTTAACAAAGCACCTGCTCACTCCTGCCCCCAAATAACAGCGAGACGGCAAAAAGTAAAACAAACAAAAAACAAGAAAACAGCCCAAAACAGGAAAACAAACAAATAAACAAACGGGGTAATCAGTGAGTACCCCCTATTGAGTACACGCTTCGCACGACACATGGAGACACAAAAGGGCGGGGGTTGTAATAATGATCAATGGACGTCTGGGAATTATACATTAAATATGTCACGCGATACATTGACTGATGACTCATTAACAATATATCACGCTATATGTACACCGCCAATGATACATACTCGCGAATGATACATACCCGCGAATGATACATACCCACGAATGATATAAAACTAAGTCATGCTATACATACCCATCAGTGATGCATAAACCTGTGTCACGTGATACATCGGACTGATGACCCTCGCACTGACAAATTCCTAAGTCACTAACGGTGTACAAAAAATAATGGTGCAGCGAAAAAAATATGAGATTTATCATTTTTTTTAATAAATGTGTATTTTTTTAATAATAGTGCTGTTAAAAAAGAGTAAACAGTAAAAAAAATCTAAATAATAATACTGTAAAATGTTCGTGTAAATAAAAAAAAAAATATGTTTAATGATAAATATTTAGATTCAAATATGTTAATGAATGAGAGAGAATTCAAGCTTTAACTGCTGTGACGACAAGCTGCAAGATACTGTGCTAGTAAACTGCTCTCTTGGGATATAGAAAAGTTACTGTGATGGAATGCTGTGAGTGGTAGCTGCGAACTGCTGGGGTGTGGCATTGTGACGAAGACGAATTATTATTATAAAGAACAACAAGAACAGCAAGAAAAACATAAATAAGAACGAACAAGAATAGAACATGAAACGGATACTAATAAAGAAAAAAATATTAATAAGGAAGGAAAAAGAGAAGAAAAAGCCGCCAAAGTAGAGTTTTAAGTTTAACAAATTTATTGACAAAGCTTGGCAGAAGTGATATCCTGCAACGTTTTTTCTGCGTTAAAAGCTAGCTAGCTAGCGCTCTCTCTCTCTCTCTCTCTCTCTCTCTCTCTCTCTTCATATTCTTCTTCTCTTTCTTCATCATCGTCTTCCCTCTTGTATTTCTTTCGTCTTTCGTCCTTCTCTTCCTACCACCACCACCATCGTTCGTTCTATCGACTAGTCTGTTTACATTGACTGGCCCAGGGCAACAAACACAACTCCCTCGCCACACTACTACTACCTTGCCACCACCCTACTACCACACCCTACCACCATTATACCAATACCACCACCACACCCTACCACCATTACACCGTGCCACCACCACACCCTACCATTACACCGTGCCACCACCACACCCTACCACCATTACACCGTGCCGCCACCACACTACCACCATTACACCGTGCCACCACCACACCCTACTATCACACACCTACTACCATCACTACACCGTGCCACCACCACACCCTACTATCACTACACTCTACTATCATCACTACACTGTCACCACCACACCCTACCATCATTACCGTGCCACCACCACCCTACCACCGGGAGGTCCGGAGCGAATGTGGTTTGTTGCTTCTTTACGTTAAAGTTTAATCATACAATCACCCTACCACCACCACACCCTATCACCACCACACCCTACCACCACCACCACACCCAACCACCACCACGCCCTAGCGTCACTACACCCTACCACCATCACCACACCCTACCACTACTGCACACACGACCAGATGACTGTATCCAATTTACTACAGAGAGAGAGAGAGAGAGAGAGAGAGAGAGAGAGAACCGCAATAACAGCAAAGATGCAGGACTGTGTCGACGGCAGTGGTGGTCGCTCTGGGAATCTTTGTGAAGCATTACACCTCCCTCTCTCTCTCTCTCTCTCTCTCTCTCTCTCTCTCTCTCTCTCTCTCTCTCTCATAAGCAAATTATCTCACACTCACACTTTATCTCTATCACATATAAACATTCTCTCTCATACGCACACACATTCTCTCTCTCATACACACACACATTCTCTCTCTCATACACACACACATTCTCCCTCATACACACATATTCTCCCCCTGTCATACACAAAATTTTCCTCTCTTTCTCCTATAAATAAGCCAATGACATCGCCCCAGGGCTACAAGACGTTGACCACACACCAGCAAGTCACCCACCACACATTCCCTCAAAAGTTCTTACCTAAAATATTACTTCCTCCAACCTCACGACGCAACGATTCTACCTGTCATTTCTTCTCTTTCTCTTCTCTTCTCTTCTCTTCCCTTCCCTTCTCTTGTCTTGTCTTATCTTGTCTTGTCTTCTTTTGTTTGCCTTTTTTCTGTTTTTATTTTCCCTTTTTTGAGCATTTTTTTTTCTCCTTTTCACTTCGTTTCGGTTTGCTTAAGTTTAGTTAAGAACATAAGAATGCAGCGGGACTATTGGCCCATTCTCGGTAGTCCAGTTTACACCCAACCTTATCGCCCATATATCCATCCAACCTATGTTTGAAGCTATCCAGCGTATTCGAGTTAATGATGATGTTTGGTAACTTGTTCAACTCATCCACTATATTTCCAAACCAATGTTTACCTATCTCGCACCAAAATCTAAATTTGTCTAATTTAAAACTATTGCTACGAGTTTGAGTACCTTCGTTATTTCACCTTTGCTTAGCCCTGACTTCCTTTATATACCTCGATCATATCGCCCCTCACTCTACGTCTCTCGGGGCAGTGCTAAAAAGATGCTTTAACCTGTTTCTGTACTCAAGGCTCCTAATGCCCGGGATTAGTCTCGTCATCCTCCTCTGGAATTCTTTCTAAGGATTCTATATCCATTCTGTAGTACGGTGATCAAAACTGAACTGCGTAATCCAAGTGAAGTCTCACAAGCGCAAGATATAGTTTAGGATAACCTCGCTAGTCTTGAAACTAACACTCCTTTGTATGAACCCAAGTACTTTGTTAGGTTAGGTTGGGTAGGGTAGGGTACGGTTGGGTAGGGTACGGTTAGACTATCGATCAGATGGGGGTGTAACCTATCATAATCAGTTAAGGGGAAAAATTATCACCGTCAGATCTTTTGAGAATTCGAAGTCAGATTTCACTAAGATGCGTCGAGTGTCTGCCAGAGAACGTACGCTATAGGAACGTACAGACAGATGAACGGATACTAAATACGTACAACAGCACAAACTAGCAGCTGCCAGACCGATGAACGGACACTAGAAACGTACAGAAGGGTGAACGAAACAATAACGTACAGAAGGATGAACGAACCAAATGACTGAACGTACAACAGAATGAACGTACAACAAACCAATGAAAAAAACAAGTGACTCGTATCATCGACCCATTCTTTTAATTAACAAAAGTGAAACAAAAAATAAACAAAATACGTTCAAACTTTTTCATACCTGAGAAATTAAAAAAGTAGAAGCAAAAATACGAAAAGTATTTAATCCGTTGATTTTAATAATAAAAATTCAGTCAATATTAAAGTCGAGCCTTTAAGATTTTTAGTCAACAATGAAAATAGGAAAAATATAATCGGCAAATATTCGTGCTTTTAAGAAATTGAACATCCCTAAAAAATGTCAGAAATAGTTTACACATTAGGTCAAAGTATTAAACTTAGTAGCCAAGTCCAAGTTTTACTCATATTAATTTATTCGTTCCTTTAAAAATATTACTAAAACAAAACACAAATTAAGAGACAAAATTACAGAAAAAAAGTAAAAGTTAAAGTGAAATAAAAGTATGTAATAAAAGTAATGGTCAAACTATCTTGATAACTTTAACTTAATATATATAACTAAAAAAAGTATATATATAAACTATACTATTACATATTTTGTCATGTCATAACACACACACAGAGTACAGTATATTGATCGTTCGTATTGGTTCTGGCAGTCCCTCCCTTCCCTCCCTTGTCTCAACCCTTCCCTCTTTCTCCCTCCTCCTCTCATTGTCCCGTTCCCGGAAGTCTTCTGAGTCTCTCTCTCTCTCTCTCTCTCTCTCTCTCTCTCGTATCGGGTAAATCATAATATAAATCATACAATATTAAAGTAGTATTTGTTATCGACATTAAAAAAAAATAAATACTGTACTATCAAATATTACAGTAGTTAATCTTACACAAAAAAAATCGGATTCTTAAAAAAAAAAACTAAAACTGAAAATCTGACCAAGTTGATGGAACACAAGAGCTATCGACTAGACTGCACTGGTACAACAAATGAACAGCGCACCATAGGATAAACACTCGATTTTGTCCTCAATGTTTCACCCTCTATATTTTCTTGCAACTGATCGCTATGTGGCATCTGTTTTTTGCCTTATGAAACACCCTATGCAAGATGAGAGTTATGTTTCCTTATGAATCACCCTGTACAAGAAGTTATGGTTCTTTATGAGACACCCTGTACAAGATGAAAGTTATGGTTCTTTATGAGACACCCTGTACAAGATGAAAAG